CCATCGAAGTACAATCGATCGAGAGTTACTTGTGGTATAACTTGGCAGAACAGGAAAACCGATAGAGAAAAGAAAAAAATATACATAAATAGATCCAGGGGAAAATTCCTAAATACGTGAATAAATAATGGGCGTTGACCTACCCATTCTATTATTCATAATGAGCCACAATTCATCAACTTCAGTGACATTCGATGAAATCAGCTTTGCTTACTTATTTATTTATTGACAACTTAAATTACACATCAGTTTGCTCCGCGCTTGTTTATTTGCGACCGTAAATTAAGAACATTTACCGAAATTGTAGTAATAAATATAACTGTTAAGGTCAATGAAATGGAGCTCCTCGCGTGCCGGCTAAAATATTAAATACCTAGTTCGGTATTAATCATTAGGAGGTATTAGTCATTGTTTCTAGAATTGCTATATACTTTATTGTGGCATATACGTATAATGGAAAGAGATCGGTTGCAGCATCGTATAAATTGTCTGGCTACATCACGAGGGAAATACATAGGTGATAGGAGTAAATAGAAAACACATACACACATTACGGCTCATGCGATGCGAGAGAGAACTGTCGGGAAGTTTTAACGAAGATCGTTCTCGATGACAGCTGTTCTCTCGCTTGTCTGCTCTCTACTCATCTATCCTACCCGAATTAGAAGTCCAGAGAATTCCTGCAAAGCTGTTCTGTGTGTATAGAGTATCTCAAAATCTTCAGATCGTGTTTCGGCTATAGCTTCTTCGATCTGAAAACAACTTTTAGCGAAAATGCCGAGGGAAGTTGCTTATCGCATTTCTCTTTCTAACTTTATATAACTTTGTAACTGAAATTCGAACTGAAATTTTAAGTGAATTTCGTTATTTTAAAGGAAAATGCTTAAAAACTAAATTTAAAAAAGGTGCGATTATATTAATCGCCATCTTCTTACAGATGATCACTAAAAACAGCTTGTTCGATTTTTTCAGCTTGACTTCGATTTTTTTATTAAGGAAAATTTAAGATCAAATATTAAACAGAAACATAAAATAAAAGTTGATATCACGGAATAATAAAGCATATATGACAAAATATTATAAAATAAATATCATAATAAAACAAATATCAAATGACATAAAATTATGTGCAATTTTTTTTACAACTAGGAAATTTGTATCATATTTATCTATTATCTAATCTTCTCTTCGTATATAGTATTTCATTCATATTTCCATTCATAATTTTATATTCCTATTCCAAACACAATTAAAATAGAAATCTAAAAGTTTTACAGATGGTTTTAGGCATATCTATTTGCGTTTCGCTTTTCCATTTAACTTCTCATCGTTATACCGCGATCACTTGCGAGCCCTGTTAATGATTTCAATGGACGGAATCGACGTGTTGCGAGAAGCCGTGCAATGTCGCAAGAACTTTGTGCGCTTATTGTCTTATTGTCTTGAGTTCGTGTCAGAATTTGTTTATGTGAATCGTACCACCTTTCCTTTCCGATCAACGGTTTTCCATTTAATCGACGCGTATCATAATTTTTGAACACGCTGCGGACTACTCGATAGAATTGTATCATTATGAATTTTTATTTTATTTTCACATGTGCTTTCATTACTCCACTCGTGATATCAATAAAAAAACAGTTGTATACGCGCGGTAGCGGAAAGATAATAGACAGTATTTATGCGTAGTTACTTATAACTGAACCGAAGTATGATTATTGAATCTCAATAATAACTAGAACGATTAAGTTTATAATGGACTCAATTGATAGCTCCGGTTGCACACATAAGAAATGTTTTTCTTTTTACTTTCTATACAATATGAACAAAGATATAATGCACAATCCAAATTTATAAAAAAATATGTTTGAGGAACGTTTGTCATAACCGTCCATGCGACGTCTTTCTATAAGTTTGACGTAAAAATACGTTAACGATCAAGTCTCGTATGCTCGTAAATGATATGCATGAATTTTCGCAAAGAAGTTTTTGTGGTCCATCTGTTGATGATATCGATTAATGATTGTTCAAAATTATTAATTGCATTCAATCAATTTGTGAGATTATAGCACATAATTAATGGTTCCATATCAATCCAATAATTGGAAATCGCCTTGTAAATAATATATTAATAAAATATTAACTTATTCAAACAAAAACATTCCAAACTAAGTATAATAATCAAGTACAGTAGTCCTAAATTATTCTCTCTCTTAATTGTTTTGGTAAAATTATGGATCACTTTAACAGTCAACCATTTCGTTTTTCTTTATCTAACAAGTTTTATTGTATATACTCCGCTGTGTGTGTTACATTGAACGAAACTTTTTCTAAAACTACCTGGAACTCTTCCTTTTGTTCTAAATAATCTAGAACTCCTAACAGAACTACAATTTCGAAGCACAGGGATGTAAAATTTATACATTCCAGTGTGCTGCTAAATCCCAAATATATAAACCATAATTATATATTATATTAACTATTATGATATCAACTACTATTCTAATAGCATCATGTTTTTTATGATAAATATCGTTTTATAAATCTTTGTATACCTTTTGATATCTTTTACTTTTTGTCTTATTACTTAATTTTTTTGGTTGTGTATCCAATAAAACATATGATTGTTTTCAAGAATTTTTTATGGAAATATCTGTTCCAGAATATTATATATTTTTCTAAGAACTTGTTTTCACAATTATATTAGAGAACTGCGTATATTTCATTGGATATAATATTTTTTAATATCGAAGTAAATAATGAAAGAATTATGTAGTGAATGATATAGTAGATACAATGAATTATATATACATAGTGAAATTTTATTTTCGTTGACACAACTTTGAAAATTTTTAACGATCAAACGGAAACATTTTTATACCATTTTTTCGTAAATGTATTATATCTGCAGATTAAAAAAGTCTTTTATGAAATTAAAGTATAAACAATAACTCGCAGTTCGGACTAAACGATTTTATATGAAAAACTATAAAAATTTGAAAATTTGAATAAAAATTTGAAAATTACAGTTTTATTATTGATTTCTAGTGTTGATTCGTAATTATATTTGCTTTTATATAAAAGTTTTATACTTTATACGTATAAAACAAGCTTAATTCGAGATAGGGATTACATGAAAGAACAATACTATGCTTTTAGAAATGAGTTTAGGAGTTTTAGTACAAGAGAAAAGGTTGCGTGAAAATTTCGTGTAGTTATGTGTATGTGTGATATTATTTTCTCATGTTAATATTGTTGCTTAAAATTAAATGTTTTTAAATTTATTTTTGTATAAGAAAATGCTCTTACAACGTTGTAAATATGTATATGTAACAATGTACATTATATATATTATATTCGCAATTAATGTATGACTTGGCGCCTTTTTTATTTTTTTTTGAAAAGATAATTTTTGAATGGTTTATTATTATACTGTGTACTTTCATTTTGGCCTATGTTATAAAATTAAGTGATCGAACCAATAATAGTGTATCGGATTTCTTCCGTAGTTTTCTATTTTTTATGATTTTAAAAAAAGAAAAGAAACAAGAAATATGTGAAGTGCCTGGGCGCGGCGATCTACGATAAAGGTTAACGTTGTCCCACATTGCCATTAATAAATAAACGTCGAAGAATCAATAGTCGTTTGTGCGCGATTCACGGTAGAACGTATACTGTTTATTGTTTGAAAGTCTATATTTGTTTTACATTATCAAGCACTCATCAGAATGTTAGTTTTTTACTTACTTAAAAAATTAAATTCTGTTATCTGTATGAAAACGAATGAAAATTATTGGAAATAATTAAATATTAAAAAATAAATTCTTCAAGAGAAGGGAGTTAGTGCAAGTATACATGAAAAAAACGAGTATAAGAAATAAATAGCTTTGAGGAAGTTTTAATTGTATTTATTAATTGTATTATAGTTAATGTTTTTTTATGGGAATTTAATGGATTCAATTATATTTTATCACCATTTATTAATACTTTGGATAAAAATAATTACATTTAACGTGAAATATATAACGAACTCGGTATTTTCTCGAATAGATTAGGGAAGCCTTAACCATCGATCCGTTTATCTACCGAAACCTTGCAATATATTTTAATTGATACACTGAATGACGGCCATGCTAAAAATATGTTGTCTCCGAACTAGTAATATAATTGAAGAAAAAACCAGATTCCTTATGAAAAAATAAGTAAAAATGTAGAATAAAATTTGTATGATTATTATAATTTCGTAATTAATGTAATTTCATAAGTAACTAATAATGGAAAAAAATTTTTAATTTATTACATTTTTTATTAAGTGATTAAAGTTATTAAATAAATTAAAATATATTATAATTAATAAATTTAGCAATTAGCGCAATCACGATATTACGATAACCCGTAAACCCTCTGAAAAAAAATATTCCTGAAAGAGCTTCAAAAATATTATCAATTTAGCAATTATTAAATTAAATTATTCTATAATAATATTGTTTTTTAATTAAAATTCTAAAGCCTTCTATAATAGCTTCGATTTATTTCTGTGGACATTTTGTGAATATGTCGTTATATCAAACAAAAAACAATGTAATATTTTAGAAACTATTTTAGAAACTTACATCAATTAGAACGATATATTAAATTCGTGATATTATGAAATTAACGTACAATAGTTTTTTACGTCTGCCTAGCTGTCCCCCTCCCCACTTAACCAAATCTTAATGAAAAAATTATGGAATAATTTAATAAGCCCCCCAGGCTGACTGACTGCCTACTCAGCCCCACACAATTTTTTTTTAATTAAACGGAATGAACGCAAAAATTTTTTTTGCGAATATAAATAGCACATTGTTCCATAATTTTTTCATTAAGATTTGGTTAAGTTTTTTGGGGGGGGCAGCTAGGCAGACGTTAGTTTTTTATATTACTCAATATATCTACATTTATAAAACAGTCATAGAGTGTTTTTATCGCGACTTTTAAGAGCAAATGGTGTGTTAATGTTACAGCAGCTTCATTCGGAATACAGGAGCACGTACACATGGCACGAGTACACAGGACCGCATCAGGAGCATACAGTTGTGCGACGCGCGCCGCAGCCGCCACCGTCGAGTAAGTACGATAATTAAACAGAATAGTATTTTTACTTCTGTTATATTTAGCGAACATTAAACGGAATAAAATAGCTTATTTGCCGGCAGAAAACAAAAAGTTTACCAATACGCGTGCTATGATGTGACGTGATATTTCACACGCAAAATAAGCAGTGAATTTTCTCTTATGTGAAGTTCTAAAATTTATTACGAGTGATTATGTTCGAAGGATACTTTTCCAAAAGAAAAAAATTGCGTTGATAAATTGATAAGTATATGAGATATATTTTTCAAAATTAAGGAAGGAATCTTCAATCGGGGGATTTACACTCATATTGTTTAGGCTTGATACGATTAGAGAATTTTCACGTCACTCGAGCGTAAATTGATTTATTTCGCATTTATCGACTCTGTTCTACACAGACATACGTGAGTTATTCTTAATTTTAATGAAAATACTTCATTATTTAATTGAGCAAAGAAAATATTTATGCCGCGCTCTCGAGAGCGACCACCTACTCGCGGAGAGAACTTTTTACTTTTTTTCTCCGTATCTTAAGAGTGTCTTTAATGATTTTGTTTATTCGTATTACTACACTGAGAAAAAAAAGTTGTTAACTTGACTAAATGCGTTTAGTTCGTAATGATTATTTAGTTCAAATATTTATATATTTAGATTAACAAGACCTTGTAATTTAAAACATGTTATTTGTTTGTGTGTGTTGTGAATTAACAAATATTTAGTTGAATTAACAAATATCTGCTTAACAGTCCGTGATCGCTACATTTAGTTGAATCAACTAATATTTTTTTGAAACAGCAACTATTTTTTCTCAGTGTATTATTAACGCACTCGCTCTCCACATCCCATTCACTTCATACACATTGTTATCGCGATTTTATTACGATATATACAATGCATTATTTTTTGTGTAACATATTTATAGATATATACACGCATATATATAGAGAGCGCCCTATATAATTCACGATTTTAATGGCAGTTTATTTAAATAAATTTCTAGATAAATTTGGAGTTACTTTTTTTAAAGAAAATATTGAGGTGCCGAGGTGCCCTAAAATTATTCAGTTATAAGATTCGTTGCAAATTAATTATAAGTTTCAAGAGATCATAGAACTCTTGAGATCCATCCTTCAGTTAATTTCAAATGAGCTTTACGTTAATAAAATTCCAATTTGAAATTTAGTTTATAAAAACATGTATTGGAAATCGAAATGTTACGTATTAAATAGATATCTTTTAAAAATTATTGTTACGAGAAAATCGACTTTATATTCGTCAAGAATCTGTCATTCAAATCGCGAATTGCGGGATGATCCTATTTATATTTCGATATTGTGTATGTCATGATATATTTTTAGAGCAGCGCATTACGATACATATTGTCATATACCTGTTCTCTCGATGTTATTCTCACTTTGTCCTATTACCGATGTTTCTGTGTGAACGCTTATAAGTCAAAGTAGATATGCATTTTTACCTGCCGGTAACGTAAATTCGTTCCCGGCTCATTTTTCGAGAGCAGACGTCAGCTGTCGATCGAATCGGTGAATCCCCCTCGTTTCCACTCGATCGAGTATCTCGGTAACGCGCGATTAAACGCGAAAATGCGGTTCTTGGCCTTATTCAAAATTGTACTTGCAGATAGCTACGTTATTCGCATAAAAATTTAAGTTCTAAAATATTTTATTATATAATATTTTTTTATATATTTCTATAATATAATGATAGACGTAAAATGCATAACCTGTATTTAATCGTTTACAATTGATACATTTAATAATATATTTACAATATTTAGTTATTTAATTTTAAATATTTGAAGCATACGACTACGAATTTAATGAATGTAACGAATTTCCTCTAATTCTTGTTTGGAATTCAAGAAATCTCGAGAATCTTTGAGAATACAAAGCTCCTTTCAACGATAATGGTTGATATAGAGATCAAAATTTTGCTTCATATTAAACAGACGGCTAATTCAACTCGAGGTCTCCATGTTCATTTAAATTTACATTGAATCGGAAAGACAAACGTTACTTGTAGCTTTTTTGTTTACCTCAGTTCACTTCATTATTGTTATTACTATAGCAATTTTTAAATTGTTAATAACATACAAAGAATATATAATTCATAAAATATAAAATATCTAAAAAGTAGATCAAAGAAAGGTAGATAATAGAATTTCTGATAAAGAATCAATAACTGCGAATATTATTACCGTGTTAAAATCCATTTCCACCTCGATTTCCACCGATCGTCGATTTCTCAGCTAGTCGTCGCTCGAATTTAATCGTTCACGATCTCGCGCGATCTTTCGCGACCTCGTTTCGCGTAAGGCAATTTGGCCGCAATAAATTCCACGCCATTGACTTTCTCATCTCGTCAACGGCGTTCATTCCCCGGTCTCTCTTGAAAAATGAAATAAATCAACATGCATTGTGGACGATTGAACTCCGTTCTCCCTATCCGTGTGATCTTTATTCGCAAGCGATCTTTCGTTTCTTCTTTTTTTCACGCGAATCGATAGATTTAATTCATCCGTAGTATCGCCAGTAGTATCATGATTGTTTAGTTTTCATATTATCAAACAAATATGAACGCGGATTCATGATCAAATTTAATTACATCGCACGATTACGAACGATAGTACATGTGTAAATCTTAGTTGTAAAAATTTCTCTGTGAGTGTCATATGGAAAATATTATTATATTTAGATATTTATTATGATATGCCATCATATATTCATATATTCATGATACCGCTGGAGATTTAGAAAAGTATCATACATGTCGACTCTTGAAGAAATTTCAACGGAAATAATGGTCTAGCCCTCTTTTTGTTTCATATAAAAAAAAGTATGAATCGTCGCTTTTACTTCAATTCGTTATCGATGTCTCGTGATACAGTCAAAAGTAGAATTTGACATTCGGGGGAAAAAATCTCGATGAATTTCAATAGTTGCACATACATGGATAAGCACGCAATAGTTTTGGAATTTTTCTACCGGCCTTGAGATGAAGAAGGGTTATGCGATCGATTATGACGGAAAGTCAATCGATCCAGCAAAAAATGAGTATTGAAGGGAGAGGGGGGGGGGGGGGGGGGGAAGAAAAGTAAGAGAAAAACAAAAGAGAGAACGCGGTGCCAGCTGCGAATTTTGATTGCAGCGAAGCAACCAAGCGCGAAGCTACAATCGGCCAAGTCAACAGAGGATGAGAACAGCGAAGGTAAGACGAACGACTCGGAGCTACGCAAATGCCCAGGTTTTATTTCGATTTGTTTTCGCTCACTCTCCGGAGAAACTCCCCCTACCCTTCTCCTTGCCCAGATGCTATTGTATCTGCTATTAATTTGCTGGCTAACAAAGAGGCTTGTAGCTAAATGTCAATTTCATTAAACGTAATATTTATCTCGAAGTATAAATTTATTAAATTTTATGTTTTGTATATATACAGAGTTTCTGGTAATGAATGTAACATTTTCTGTAAACAGGTAGCGAATTAAACTGCTAAATAGAAAATGTTCTGTACCGTTTTACTATATATACCGTTTTACGGATTTTTACAATAATTAATGAGAAATTAATTAAATGGAAATTTGCGGATGAAGGTACATCCGCGCAATTCAGCGACGAATGTAAGCGCGCAGTTCTGTGAAGTTGGCCTCCCTTCCTTTACTGAAAATCCAGTTGCCATTTATCATTAGTAGGATGTTTATTAATCCATTCTCGATAATCATGCAAAACTGTATTAATAACATGGAAAAAAGACATTTGTGTGAAGATTGCTTGTTTTTTTTTATAAAATTTGAATTTCCAAATTATATATATATATATATGTATAATCATAACTATTAGCATTTATTTGACGCTCGGTTATTATAGACGTTTTTTAAATATTTAATAATTAAAAATATAATTGTCAAGGAAGAAAATAGGATGTATGTAACTAATCATGCGTCCCGATAGAAATATCCTTATGACGTTTTATACGATTGCGTATTTACCAATTATAAATATTATTGTTTATTTAACGATTAATCTACAATATTTGATAGTTACTTTCCAACGATAATTAATTCTTAAATTGTAAATATAGGTCAAATTGACTTTGTCCGTTTCAAAATTTAATGAGCATATGAACATACGCACACGCCAACTTGCACATAGTCGTGTGCTTACATTTACTGCTGTCGCGCAAATGTACGCTCACAGATCTTTATTAGTTTATTTTCTCATTAATTATTCTGAAATAGTTTATTTTCTAAACGGTACAGGACTTTTCCATTCAGCTTAACTAGTTGCACCTTCTTACAAGAACGGTTCCACTTATTACCCGAGACTTTGTACATGTATTATAAAAATATGTATTTATAATACTTTGCATAATTATTTATATGTATTACATATTTTCTGTATATTTTAAATGGGATATTAGACATAATCGCAAACGTATAATTATTTATAGAATTTTTGTTCTTGGAGAGAGATATTGTGAACAGTGAGAACAGTTAATTGGTAACATCAAGTTTTTGTGGAAGTTCTCTCGGTTTATTCATAGTCTCTTTAGATATCACAATTTAGATATTTGAACGCTCCTAGAATAAAAAGTTCAAATATTTGAGGACTCAAAAAACATTAAGCTCCTTTCAATCCTGTAAAAAAGTTTTAACGAGTTTATGCAAAACCGATAGGACTTTTCAAACGATTTACTGTTGATAGATAGGTAAATTATTGATAAACTAGCGCCGCAAAAAATTACATTTTTTTTTAACCGTTTTTATTCTTTTTCCTTTTCAAGCTCGCATTATCCTAACGCGATGCTTTTCTAATATCGCGCTTTGACTTTTACATAATATAATAATTATTACATATTTCAGTTTGAAAATAATCATTGATGACTACATCATTATGAAATCGCAATCATTATCGATTGATCGAACTTTTCATGTCGCCTGAACCGGGAACGAAAAGCTTAATTATTTGCATGAATTTGTTTTATAAATTTGATTTTAATTTATTTGTGATAAATAAAAATGTATATTTCCACATTTCGCCTCTATAGATTTTATCAACGAATCCTGTTTATCAGATAAAGTTTTGATCTTTTAAATGCCTCATAAAATTAATTGACGAACAACCGCTGACATTTAAGGCATGAACAATGTAAAATATTTCACTTTTGCATATCTTACTTGGACAATCTTTGTGAATCATTCATCATGATAAACTTCCATTTGCCTGCACGAAAATCGCGTGAAGCATGCCTATAAGTATACCAAACTTATTAACATTCCGGCGAGAATTGCGGTTAATCAGAATAATGTTCGTAAAATAATGGAATGCAAGGCGTATACATATATATCATGATACGTACAAACGTGATTGTAATAATATTATTACTGAAAAAGTAAAGCATATATATGTAATATATCATATATCATTTATATATGCATAATATGAACAAATATCTAAACTCTTCAATAGTACTTTTATTTTCTACTCATGAAGCTAAATCCTTTCTTCGCGCTGCAATTCAGTGTTGCTAAAATTTATTTTTGCATTGATATTTATATGCATCAAAATTTAAGATAACGATATTTTTTATTATATCTCGTATTCTGTTCCACAGAGTATATTCACATATCAATTACTGTCATGGCGTTAAATGTAGTACTCTCAACTTCATTTCCATATCAAATATTGCCTTTCGCGAATCGACTAACACAGTCATTTATAAGATTAATGGTGACTCAAACACATTTTTTAATAAATACACATATAAACATAATGTAAACATATGTAGTGTGTGAAATTTTACTATCTTTTCTAACAAAACTTTCTGACAAGATATTTCTGTAGAACGTAAATATTTCGATAGTTCAGAATTCGAGGAAACAACTCGAGATGCAAGATTTTATTTAGCAATAAGACTTACTTAAATCGTTAACAATATTTATTTATTACTTTTAATCCATTTCTACAAATTAAAATTCACAGTGTTACTTTAGTAAAAATTGAGTTTAATGGCCGATTAGTCATGAGCTTTAATGAAGTTATAATATATTATCATTGTATAATATATTACCGCTATTTTTCTAGCTATATTTTCTAGCAATACATATAAGTAATACCATCTAGAATATTTATCTAGCTAAAACTAACTACAAGAGATAAAAAAGAAAATTAAAAAATTTTTTTAGATTATTATCAAAAGTATTTGTGAGCTTAGATAACTTTTATTAATTAAATCTTATTCATCAATTTTTTATTCTGTTTCCTTCTTTCTTAGTCTGCCGACTATTTGCCACTAGATATTTCCCAAGGATTTCAAAATGTTAAGCTAAAAGAATACTTTCTTTTCATAATCAGAGACATTATAACTCTCTAAATATAATTATAAGTCTAAATCTGGCACAAAACACAAAAATACGTGAATCAAACAATGTCCTTGATTTTTCACGGAATGGACGTCATTTTAATCGAAAGCATTAACTTCATGTGGAATTTACCGCGGTAACAAATCATCGGTTATCTCGCTTCCACAATCTACATCAAAATATCTCTGTATTTTGGTCGACTTATCCAATATAGAATGGTGCACGTTATACACACATACACACACATATATGATGCACGATATACACATATACACACACACACATACATATACATATATACTATATTTATACGAGAGCGCGCGTGCGAAACTTACATAGTGCTCTCTCTATTTATCTGCACGAAATATACCGAAAGCTTGCCTATAGATATGTAGGTACACACTTCCCTTGGACTTCAGGCCGATTGTAGTAGCGATTAATCGTTGCAATTGAATCATGTATACGAATTGGAGGGAATAATAATACAGAACGAGGATCGAGATTCTGGAAATTTACTCAGATTAATTTTAATATTGAAGTTATATTTGGATTATTTGGAAAATCCATGGGGCTGCCATGAAAAGTCGAAATTTCTAGTATAACTGTAGTCTTGAAAGCGACTCTGAAATAATTGCGACATTTCAATTATCATGACATATTTTACAATAATAAGAACAAAGTTTTATAATAATTCTCTATAGTATCATATTACTGGAAATGATAACAATTTAATGTTTGTTATAGCAGTGATAGAATTTAGTTGCAATTTTTGGCTCGATTTTCGTGCTGATGCTATTGTCTTCCTTATATGCTCGCATTTTGATATTTCGCCAACAGGAATTGATACTTGGCTGACACTTTGACCTCCAATGAGGAAATTCAACGCGCACAAATAAAAACGTTTCCAAATATATCTGCTGTAATTTTTAAAGGGAGGACACAGTTGACTAATCACCGATTCTGTTTCGCTTACACGTATATCAAAAATTAGTTGGTCCGTGTCCGAACATTTTCATGATACGGCTATTTCCCAGATAAAACATTGCACATCGTATCCATGCTTCTCTGTAGCGAATCGTAATTAGGATGTAAAAATTAAACTCGGGCCAAAAGATTTACAACTAAATCCTAACTATTAGTATAAAGTATATTAAAATTCATTATTAATTTAAACATTGAAAAATATTGCGATATCGATTCAATTATATAATTGAACAACTTTAACCGTTCTTATTTTCCGTAATGCATGATTCAATTAGATCGCAATAATAAATCACGCCACCTGTTTTTTGGAATTTTTTTGAAGCATGTTCCATCTCTTTATCGAATAGATCTCTTCATCGATCTGCGACGATTAATTGTCACTGCTAAAAGAAGAAAATTATATCTAGAAAAAAGTTTATATTTATCATATTTAGAATTTTTGAAGATAGATGCAAAATTCCTTGTTACCTGGATTTTTCTCGTCACAATCTTTTATAAGTCATTTAGTTTTTCAACGATATCATTCTTTGAATTTTCTGTTTTGTTTTATGAAAACAATCTTCTATAAAAATTAAAAATTATTTGAAAAAATACTCGAATATTATTTAAATATTGGAATAAAAAAACTTAAATTTTTACATTATGTATACGTAAATGCCTATATTTTCTTTAGAATTATGGCAATATTGATGATAGTTTTTTTTTTACTTTATCGCACATACACATGGCGTACGACAGCTACATCTTCCATTTAATCCATTTCGCATTTGCACTTGTTGCCTACGATGATGGATAATATGAAGGAAAATAAAAGTAATAATTTCTCTCTTCAATTTCTTTCATATCTGAATACTTATTATTTTTA